AGATGCGCACAATCTTATGGATGGTTCGGTTAGAGCGGATACAGGACACGTGAACCACATGGTTCATTCGGTTGAAGATCCTATTATGCGTAAAGCAGGTCTGAAGGGTCCGGTTTCAGTGAGGACCAGACAGGTTCGTGGATACTAAGAAGTATACATATATTTTTTTTTCCAGGTGCATTTAAGGTTTGATAACTGAGTTTTTGTACAATCTTTTTCTGTGTTTTTTTCCGGTTTGTTCAAGTGTGTTAAGATTACTTATTCGTTATGGATATAAGCTTTTTTATGTTGTTGAACAGTTGCATATGTGTTTATTCATGAAAAGTTTCTAGAAACATTTTGACCTGAGAGAGAAATTTCTAAGAACTAACCTGGAAATTACTCTCCTCTAGCCCTCTTTTTTCCATGTTGAATTAGATCAGAATATGCCTGTAGATTTACGCCAACATCTTCATCATATTCAACTCCAAGCTCCTCCTGCCAATAACATCAGTCAAACATTACGGCCAAGCTAATGTAGTCTGAAAGAAGAAACTTGTGAAGAAGTATATGATTTTATACCTTCAGTTCCTTAGTATCTTTGGGAGAATTCTCTGTTACGGTATCCCAAATGTCTCTGAACATCCTCTTACGCTTTCGCCACTGGTTTATTTTGTCCGCGTACATTTCCTCAACAGCCTTTTTGTCTTCTGGCCTCACCAATGTGATTCCTTCGCGTAGTTTGATTAGTTTCTCTTCCATTTCCTTAACCTGGCACACAGTTGAAATCACATTTTAAGCTACTTCCTGTTACAAGATCACTCAAGGAAAGACAATACCCAAAAGCTTAGAACATGTACCTCTTTCCTTAGTTTGGCATCTTTCTCTTGTATCTCTCCTAGGGTCATGTTTGACTGCAAGCTACGGATTTCTGTGAAGATAAATGATTAATCCAAACAGCTAAAGATTATTAGTTACTTCCTTAAAACTCTGAACTGAGCAAAACTAAGTTTTCACACCTGACTCCACTTCGCTAGTTGCCTTCTTTTTCTCTTGGAGTTGTTCTTGAAGTGCAGCATTTTCTTCTTTCATTTTAGCAAGTTCCTCATTGTTTGGAATCTCGAACTGGTCTTGTCTAGCAATGTATATCTTCTGCTTACCGTACTCTTTGAATGTGATTTTTCCGGCATCAGCGAGGCTATCAAGCGCCTTCTGTACTGCAGTCTTCTTAAGGTTAAACTTTTGCAAAGCATCAGCTGCATTTTGTGTGTTTAGAGGTCGGTTTTGCTGCAGTGAATAATGTAACATCACACTCATAAAAAATCCCGTCAAAATTAACAAAATTAGATCCAAGAAGCTTGCAATATATAGAACTTGTATCTACCAATTTTCAAACCCAGTTGATTTCAAAAGCTTCAGGTTCATAAATCTCAACTTCTCATATACCAAAAAAAAAAAATCAGGAAGATGAGAAACAAACAAAACCCCAAATGTGTTCGATTCCTAATTTTCAAAAATCATCTAAACATCAACACTCTATACCTTAAACCTAACCTTCAATTTCAAAATCCAAATTCACGATCGTATATCTGTTTTTGTAATCCGTTTTCAAAATTAAGTTTCCCAGTAAGGAAAAAATAGAATCGCAGGGAAGTACTAACCTCATTGACAAAGTTGAGTACGATAGCTGCAGATAAAAAAAAATAGGAGAGAAATTAAAAAAATTGAGAAAATAAGAAATCCCAGATTCCGGTAACGATGAATGAACAAAATAATCGAACAAGATCAAAAGAGAATAGAAGATTTCTTCCAGAGATTATACCTTCAGTATTATCCAATTTAGGAGCCATTTTTTCCCCGAATTATTGGCGGGAAATA